CGGGTTTATAACCTCAAGGTAAGTCGTCGGGTGTTTTGGAATGTACTGAACACGAAAACATCACATCGAATTCCGCTCAATAGGCTCCGTTGGTTAGGACACGTTTTGTGCATGTCTAACGGTCGCCTACCGCACCGCGTCTTAGTTGTAGTGGCTATTGCAAACTGGAGGTCAACAGATGACGTGGAGACGAGGCATGAAGAACTGCACAGGACGATTATAGAGTAGGTGTCTCTCATCTTCCAGGTTGAGGTTTAAAAGACCCCGTAACTGGATGGTTGAAGACATCGAAGATCATGTCTGCAAACCGACAGCAGTGGCGACCTTCCTGTCGCTTCCTATCAAACAATGGTTGAAAGTGTTTATGCACAGTTGGATTGTGTACTCTATGTGTTGAACATAGAGGTTGACTCTTCATCCGTCCCTAAAATAGACTCAATGCCTACGATCGTCACACATTCTCACTTACCTTGTACACATTATGCGTTTGACAGCGATCAGTGAAGTTCGGCTCACTTTATAACACTGTATGATGATGATACTCACTCATCTGGATTGGGTTACATTCCCAATTAAGTAAAACAATTTTACCAGTAATCAGATAGCAATATTTTTGAAAGAACTAAAACTAAGTTATGGTTGAACTTTTATGTTTATTGCACAAACAAAATCACTGTGGAATGAAAGCCAATATTATTGACATCATTTTGTAAACCAAATTTGGTACTTTTCTTCAAATGATAGAAGCTGGTTAAGATCAACAAATCATGCATGTGTCTGATGACCGTTATCTAGGATTACGTTTCACGATGTTGGAAGAACTGTTCTATGGACTTTACCGCATGGCAAAATAGCGGTAGGTGGCCAGCTGCTTGACCCACACACAAGGGAGTCATTTTGTTCTTTAAACATTAAGATGGCTCTCAAAATGCCTATCCCAAATACACATCAATGAATAGCGTAGGAGAATCCCGGCTGAGTTAAAGCAAACAAGGTCGATATAGTGCAAATAATGCATTTCTCGTGGTCATCTGAAAAACGTCTGTTCCGCAATGTGGTAATTGGAGTGACACTTGTACTGGAACAACGCGAACTTGCATTCGAACTGAAGACCTCGATTGAATAACGTAAAGTCAGATAGAAACAAGACCGACGGTGGAAAGAGTTAAATCCATTAAGAAACACACGCAAATAATTATTTGAAATCTCAAGCAATCGTTGGATTACACTAGAATGTCCAGTCGCCGTCGGTCCTGTCCGCATATTCGTAGAGTTCGCTTTCAATCAGCTCGCATGTGCTTGAGCCCATCAGATGGGTTTGAATCTCATTATATTGATTGGCTTTCTGGAGATCACTTCGAGCAGTTAATGATGAAAAATGACAACAACTTGCCAGGAACACTGATTGACTTGGGGATGAAATCCGTATCATAAAATTGAAAAAAGGAACTCGGCAAGTACCATATATACCGATGTTTATGAATTTATGATGAACACTGTGGTAGATTAATCAAAACAGAGTTTGTATCGCTTGTGATGTACGAGATTTACCTGTTCCATATCTTGATCGTCATTTCATATATCGGCGGATTACCCACTGTGTTATACGGAGCAGGGTCTCGTGTCCATATATGACACTAACTTCTAGTGATGTACCAACGCATAGGATGAAAATGAGCACGGCACACCACGGCAGTGTTTGAAGCAACCATCAAAACTAAGTGCTTGACAATATTACGGGTTCAAAAAACACTTAGTAGAAAAAGAACAATCGTTTGTTATTACAATCCCTACTTGTGACCAGCGAGTGATGACACTGAAAATCTGTTTCCCCCTCCTCCTCCGACATCGACCATTACTTTCCCCCTCCATCTGGTTGGTTTTTCAAGAGGTTTGCTGTGAACAGGGACTGGTCGACACGAATGCCTCCATGCAGATCTACTCATAACCCAATCCATGCTCACCTCTCCGCGCGGAGTGACCCCACTGAGCATTCTCTCTCGCTTGGCAACAGCTCAAAAAAAAGAAATTGATTCAGCAATAACAATCGACTGATTTTTTCATTATCATACATCCGCCGTACACGGGTTGCAAGGCATAGAAATAAGAGCAAAAAAGTAAGTGCAACAATACATGAAACCCTGTATGTCCGAGGAATCCAGTTTCACGCTGGAGCCACCATCATCACACAGACATTCATACGTACAGGCAAACACATGGGCGCGGGCACGCACAACACGGACACAAATCAGGGAATAGTGGTAGAAGTGATAGTAATAGAAGTGGTTGTAGTAAGTATTGGTGGCAATGGTATTTGGTTGGCAATGCGGATCGTGATGAGTGAGAGCGAGAAGTGAACGAACAAGACCGTTTGGACCGGGGTATTGGAGAATGAAGA